TATATATATATATATATATATACACACAACACACACACATATATGTTCTAGTTTTTGTTGTGTTATTATGCACGTGTATTATACACACACAGATAGACACCTATTATATACGTTATAATGTTTGTTGTCTTGTAATTTTTGTTCTTATGATATACTCTTACACATTTGTAATAACACTTTTTATTCTTGCATTGTGTTCTTGTATTTTTTACAATAAATTGATTTTACATTTGTGCTGTAATGCTATTTTTTAGTTACAGTAATGCGTTATTGCTCTCGAGTTGCACTGTTGTATTTTGGGTTTAGAATGATGCATTTTAGTGTTGAACTTTTTTATTTTGGTTCATAACGATGTATTTTTATTCTTGTACTGTAAAATTGTGCTTTAGACTGACAACAATGCATTTTTGTTTTTGTGTTGTGAAATTGTGCTTTTGACTAAAAACAATGCATATTTGTTCTTGTGTTTTACTATTGCGCTTTTGACTCCAAACAATGCATTTTTGTTCTTGTGTTGTACTATTGTGCTTCTTGATGAGCGAAATGTATTTCTGAAATTTTAATCTCAGTGTTATATATATATATAGTACATGATCTTATTTTTTGTAGTTTATTTTAATATCGTTTCATGATTACGGTTTCAATTATATTTCATTTGGGCCACTCTGTACATTGACCAGGTTAAACAAAGTTAAGCAATTCGCTTTATTTTAATTGTTACCACACTTAACAAATTAGTTCAGGTTATCCGACTTTACATTAGGTTTGTTTACAAGAATTAATAAAGTGATTCAACTTGAGTCTCCCGTTCTTTATACCAGGCTTGAAATAGTAATGAATCTTACACAACGATTTTGCAAACAGTGAGTGATAAGTGAATGAGTCATAAACTACTAATCAAATATCCGAAAATCTTGCGAATAAAAACAAAACAAAAAACTCCATATGCCTAGTTGTTGCAAGGAGCGAAAGCTACAGATCGTTGGTCGCCCCTTATCTTTAACTATTGGTGTATTTGTCCAATTTGATAAGATTAAAACCTATGAGCACAGCAGGTAAAATGAACTTTGAATGTTCGGTATTAATAGTCGCATGCCTGCCTATCACATGCAGTTATTGTGTGTTGTCTTATCTGAGTAAAGGCACATAAATTGGAAAATTCAAATCAATTTCTCACGCTGATATTTCCGCTCATACGTTCAGTGAATGATAATATGTACTTGCCACGCTAGTTGTAAATATCTATTCTATCAGACGAAAAAAATCAGCGTACGACTAACCTAGAATTCAAGAACCATCTAATACATTTTCGCATATTTAACTACAACAGCTTAGCGCCTATATAAAAAATGTAATCTAGAAGTTATTATTACCTTAATATTTGAACT